TAATAAGGTAGTTCTTTACAGACCTTTCTCATCTAATGAGGATATGATTTGAACATATGTGCTGCGTAAGATGTTTCTGAAGAGCAAGTTGTGTATCCATACGCCCATGTCACCTCTCTTTTTGAGGAACTATTTTACTCCGCGATATAGCTGGTTGTTGTATTGCTGTCAGTGTAAACATGAAGTCACACGTACTAAATAAAATTGTGTTTAGATTTTGGCCTACATCATTTGAGGTAAGAAATTGTGATAAAAAAATTATAAGAATTGACTTTCACTTTGTGTGAGTTCATTGGAGTATGAACCTTCATAGAGTGAGGGCCAAACATTGTATGAACGTCGTCACAAGCTCAGACGTTCATACAGTTTGGCCCTCACTCTATGAAGGTTCATACTCCAATGAACTCACACAAAGTGGAGGTCAATTCTTAAATAATTTGCATACTCGTATATGCAAGGGGCCAACGTATGGTTCTCAGTAGGAAGTGACAACTTGGAGACGATGGCTTGTGGTATATACAGTTTTACTTTATACATGTAGATATATACATACAAAAGACACTCTGTGCCAGGTCAGCACATAGTGGTAGTGGTTGTTGTCTAGGTGCCCCGGAGCACCCAGCCTAACCCTAGCTAGGCTAAGGGTAAGACCTTTCTTTCCTCCTTTTTTCAATCTCTCTGGACCAAAGCTTATATAGCCAAGGTCACCTGACATTTAGTAAGTAATAAATATAAATGTAAACAGTAAATCATCAGTGACATACTTGCACATCTCGTTCAGGATGGCAGACGGTCGATGTACACAAAAATGGGGATTAACAAATAGGATTAGCATCTTATAAATAACAGCAATTAAGTGTTTCAAGGCATATAGATGTCATGAGGGTAATGAGTCTTTGCAATTAAATGTTCTTCAGACAATGGGTGTCGTAAATCAGTCGCTATGACATATTATTTAAGTTTTGATATTCCTTCAGTTTGTTGCCACTGTGCCTTTATACCTATTAATTGCTCAGTCGTTTTGTGTCATATTTGTTGGTGTTTACAAAGTCATGTTATTTGTACACCAGTAATGAGACGCCAATATTTCATGCATATTTCAAAATCAGTTGCGATACCTACATCCTAGAATTCCTCATACATTTTAGAATCAAATGACAAATGGTCTTTGTCGCCAATACAAATTGTCTAGATGAAATAAGCAAAATACATGAAATGTAAAAACGAACGCTGTGTTTGGAAAACTGCACTGTTGGAAATGTAAACAAAGCCATTCGTCTATTCTTTGAATACATTGGCTCAACATTTTCAGAATAAACATGGGAAGAGAATTGTATGAAGAATTAGAGAATTAAAAATAGATACATTGCAATGATTTGATATTTTCAACAAAATTATCAAAGTTCCCGTCGTGTGTGGTGCCATGACTGACGCAAAATCACGCACAACGACAACAGTACTTATCAGACTTTCTGACTATATATTTCTCTTGGTTTCAATGAAAAACATAAATAACAGTACACATAATGTCAGAATGCTTCTGATTACTTACATGTCACATTTATGTATATACGAACCCTGAATGAACGAAAGTAAACACATTTAATTTCACTTTGGATATTAATCAATGTTCAATATGATATCATACGTAGATATAGGCCACAACATATATGAACCTTTGATAATCTCCTGTTTGTTTGAACAATGTTTACATATGAAATTGATATTTCTTAATTTGGACAAGTGTTACAAGATGAAATGTAAATGAAACTGCAACATGTATGTATTTCTAGGGAGTGTAATAGTCAATATTATAAGTTCATATATACAGTGTCCATGAATAGCCATTTCATTTTATTTTTTATATGACTTTAACAAAAAGGATATTATTTTTCGTCAAAATATATGAACACACTTCAAGAAGAGTTGTCTTGGTCTTTGAATTTTTTTTTAGGACGTTTGATATACAGAACAGTGATATCTAACAATTTGCCAGGTGTGCGTTCGTCACGAAGGATTTATGAATTATTCCTCTTGTTTTGCATTATATATATATATGGGTTCAGCCTTTTTTAAATATTGTGACCACAGGATATAATATTGATGCCAAACAGGTGCGATTCCAATTAATATACCCTGTAAACTACTGAATTGTTTATCTGTTCAAGACATTATTTACATGGTAAACTATGTCTTTTTATGTTGTATTGGAAAAACGTCAAATTCTGTTTTACACATCGACTTTCTGCATACCATGAACAAAAATTAGGGGAGATAAATATTAATAAAAGTACCAGTGTCGTCTTTCTCCGACGTTGTCAAAGACATAAAAGCAGCCATGACGTCAAATAGAATGGTGTCATTCTTTTAGTTATTCATTACATTTGATGATACGGCTAGTGCTCCATTAATAATGCACAATCAGGAGAATGTTGGAATCTAAGGAGTAATCTATGGGTTAGATAGGGCCTTCCATTATTACTTATTTTTTCTGAAGTACAATTTCATCATTTCTTATGGGGTTTTTTTTATGCCTAAACGTATAGTTTCAATATCAATATTTATGTTTGAATAGTTTGGTTCCTCGTAAACAAAACAACACGAAAATATATTATCCTCACTCACAGCTAATTCTCACCAAGAGACCTCAGTTACAAAAAAATAGTGCTAAGCAATGTGGTGTTATGCCCCCTTTTCTGTGAACGTGTGTAGCCTCTCAGTCGCCTTTTGACGTCATAGAGGTAAATCAGTTTTTGTCATTTACAGCTATTTTTGGCATTGTAATTATGTTGGTATACATATGCATATAACTCCATTTGATGTATATTTATGTCGTTCAAATATTAGGCAGTATTTTGTTTGCTCACAGTTTTGGTAAAGCTGCTAAATAAAAACAATTGTCTCACAGTACTTTATCGGTGTACACTAAAAATGGTAGAAATTTCATGTTTTAAATGCAGAATAAATTCTCGGACAAAACTTAGCAGTGTCTTCTTTTCAAAGTGGTTTACTATTTACTGTTACATTTACACCATCAGATAGGAAATTTAATATTCTACATCTCTGTGTAATTTGATAGCTGGAGGTAGATCCAGTGCTGAGTGTTCACAATTCTCGCACAACCTTCACTTTTCTGATTTTAGGAATATGTACGCAGAAAAAAAGACCTAGGCATCTAATGATTACCATAGTACGGTATAATGTGCACATGTCCCTATGATGACAGTCTTAGACTTAGACTTACTGGTAGCTAAGATTTTGCTAAGACCGAATCTTTGCTCGAAGCAAAATCTTAAAAACTTAAGACAAAATTTGTGCTTAGCAAAATTTGAGCTAAGACTATTTTCATGATTCCCGGGGCCTGGCTCCAAGATATGAGATATCTTGTGCCAGTTTTCATCTCCGACTTCGTTGGATGATTCAAAACTCTGAGATGACCAAACATATAAATGGGAGATGGTATTCTGCCAATTCTTGATCCTATCTTCACTGACCAATAGGAAGTTGTTGGATATGAGTAAAACTGATGAACTGAGCTGTAATCCATAAGAACGTCTAATATGAGATGAACATCCTGAATGGTAGTATTAGCAACTCATTATGGCAGCTTCTGACTGTGAATTGGAGACATTTCCTAGGGGCCAGTGAGAATTGCAACAAAAAGGTGAGGGTGAGGGTGAGGGTGAGGGTGAGGCTGATCAAACCTGAGAAGGTGCTAAGCTTTCGTACTGATTCCGTTTGGAATTTCAGCTTGTTGAGAAACTTTCTGATCAATTATCGACCACATATCTTGTTAGCATAACCAATCAGTGATCTAATATTACTGAGTATAGTAACAATATGTGACTTGAAAGCATGGCCCTCATTGGTCAGTATAATATTCTTGTAGAATACTTTTCCACCCATGCAAAGACAATTAGCTAACTGTGATATCTTTTGGGATTAAGATCAGATGATGCAGCAGGAAAATCCATTACATTCACATGGTTTTCTGTAAACCAGCATTTTGTGAATGCTGATGTATGGAGTCAGGCATAGAATGTTACTCTGTCCTACGGCAAATTCTAAGAGGCCTTCCTGAAGAATTTGACCAAACTTTCCTGAGTTAATGTTACCCTCCACAAAGATAAGGGGAATCACTCCCATCATAGAAATACCACCCCACACTGTAAAAACTTTGGTACCAGTTTCATGGACTTCCCTCTTCTGGGCCCACATGCATACAGCGATCTTAGTGCTACGACTATTGTAAGCCTATATGTTAAAGTATGGGACTTACGATCATCTTAGCACTAAGATCACTTTGTGCAAGTGGGCCCTGGGCCATATTGTTACAGATGTTCTGTAGAATTTGAACAGCGACACATCTGTAAAAATCACATATCAAAATTTTCAGTGATGATACCAATGCACCAGTCCAGGCATTTCTCCGTATGTGAGTCAATTGTTTGAGGAATTTTCCATGGAACTGATTTCCAGTAGCCACGAAATGTAGGGTTCATTGACTGTTCATTCTGATGATTCTCATGCCCCCCTCCAAATTTGCAAACCAAGTTCTTTAGCGGACAAAGGATGAGCTAGGGCAATGCATCACTGCACATACAGAAGAGAGAGGAATGCTGTTTTTGCTATATGCAATTTGTGTGCAGTTTCGTACGCATGGGTATAGAGATAATGGAAACTGCATCTTTTAATAAAATTCTGTTATGTTCGCAGATCTGAGAAGCTGCCGTCTGCTCATGTGTCATCACGTGACTAGCCCTTACAACAAGGGAGATGACTCTGCAGTTGAACATGTGAAGCCATACAAATTTTCACTGGTCAATCTTCTAACGGTATATACCATTTATTTCCAAATTTCTTGCACAATGCACCATGTTAAGAAAAATCTTTGCACATTAGACCAACTATCTTATTTGGTTAATCAATATCTACAGAAATTACAGCCCATATTTCTTAATTTCTACTGCAATCAATGGTATTAAGCATATTTCACTCACATCTGAGTCCCACTCTGAAATGGAATCCTCCTTCCTATCTTGTACCGTATTTTGATCCTCCACAGGTGTAGATGTGACTGTTTGTAACACAGCTATCAAGCTTTTTGTCTCAAGTACATGCTCTGACACTGGTTCCAAAAGTTCATCTGTCTTATCTCCTGGCATTCCCTGTGATGAGACAATAAATAACAACATGAGTTCAAACATAGGGTAATTAGAAAACATACCATGAGCAAAAAGGCCTTACACCCCCTGGATGCCAAAGGGACATTCTTCTTCAAACCTCAATTTGAAAACAAATAAAATAGTAAATTTTCTAATAAATTATATATTTATATACTTATCCTATCTCACACTATGCATTTCCTCTAATTCCTCGATCTTGGTGTGGAAACGTCCTAGAACAAAGTTTCCAGCTTCAAAAACACCACTCACCCAAACACAACCCACACATCACCAATCAACACTGTGGTTCACGCACCACTAAAATCCTGTGCGACACGACCCCAGCGACCTGATCACCTCACATATCCAGCACCCTCATTCTCAATCTAGAGCGTACAGGCTGGTGTAACTGTGAGGCAGGGTTGGTTGGGTGGGCATTAGCGTGTGAGATAGGATAAGTATATAAATATACAATTTATTAGAAAATTTACAAATTTTTAAACTTATCCTATCTCACACTATGCATTTATCCCACGGATGGATGGTGGGGCGCAAATACCCTAGCCTGTAAGGACTTCAACCATGAGACGTACACAAGGAAGCTGGAACTAAACAGGAAAATTCAAAGGATTTTACAAGGATTACAGGTAGTGATAAACTCGTGTAAGGGTTGCTTAAAAAAACCCTCTTTGTGCTACCAAGAGATATACATCATGACATCGGGGAATCATGTGTTTCATGGTTTCACACAGGACGCCATTCCAAGAATGACCGCATAACCATGAGCCAGGCGACACCTACTATGTCACGACTTAAACCTCACCCTGGATAGGAAGAAGTGTTTTGTTTCAAACACCCCGTCCCCAGCGTAGGTTCTACAAGACATACCTCACACATACACTCCCAAGGACGTAAGGCGGACCAGCTTGGCATCTCTTTTTTCGCTTCATCAACCTATGAAACTCACGTAGAGATTGAATAAGGTAAGAACGAGAAGAGGAAACAATTAACGATACCCGTTTATCACACAGGTCTTCAATCAACTACTGAGACATCACATGCTCAAAGACAGAGGTGAGCAGGTAGAAGATAGGGACACCATTTGAACAAAGGGCCGCACCGGATGGTGACTTCTGTTGATGTAGACCCTTTTTCACACAGGTCGTCAATCAACTACTGAGACCTCACATGCGCAAAGACAGAGGTGAGCAGGTAGAAGATTGGGACACCATTTAAACACATGGCCGCACTGGATGGTGGCTTCTATTGACGTAGACCGAAGTCCCAACAGACAAACATATATACCCTCCTAATGGGAGCTTGTCTGGGAAACCCGATTAACATAAGCAATAAATGAAAATATTGCAGTATATACAGGAAACCAGAAGGGACTTGTAGTCCGCTGGGCTTCCTCATCTGTGCTGTGTGGCTGCTGTGACCTTGGACGTCGGCAACTGAGATTCCGAAAGGAGTAGGAGGCAAAGACCATATCAGAACGCCATAACATCCCTCCATGATGGCTGAGAGTGTGCAATACTATGCAACGCCAAAGTGGAAGTCACTGCCCTCGTCTCATGAGGATTGGAAGAAGCTGGGTGGTAGTCCCTCAAAGGTGTAGACCCTGAGGATGAAAGAACGCAGCCAGTGGAGTTGGTGGTTCAAGATACATCAGAAGTTGCAGCCGTCGACAAGTGGATGAAAAACATGCTTGCGAAAGCGAAGGATGGTCTGAGATGCCTTCAAGTAGATCGTGTAGGCTCAGGCTGGGCAAAGTGAGACGTCTTCCACGACATCAGATCTCAATCAATGAGAGTGGTGGAGGCTGAAAAGACGATCCGGTTGTCCTTGAAAACTTATCTTGTTGAAGACGCTGGAACCGGACTCAACCGACGTCTAAGCACGAGTCCCTCTAACACTAGCTGCAGGAGCCAACGCAAGCAGGAAGATGGTAATGAACGTAAAAGTTTGAGGTTTTATCCACAAGTGCATATAGTCAGCCAGGAGAAGTGACGGAAGAATACAGGGAGATCCCATGCTGGAATTACTTGCAGTCTGAAAGATCTGTGTAGATCTAAAGGTTCGGGAACTATAGTAAGTTTTATCCCATTAGTGAGTAGTAGAACTGATCGTTGCCCAGTAAGTGCCCAGTGTCGAATCATAAGATGCCTTCTTAAGTGACATAGGTAATCTGCTACTTGTGGTATAGTAGCTTGGATGCGGAAACCCTCTCGATCTGGCAAACTGGTGAAAACTTTTCCATTTATATTCACAGAGATTCAACAGCAGTTGTTGGTAGTTCGTGTGTAGGATCTTTGTTGTATCCGTGGTATCAAGGCTAGTGGGGGAAACGCATACGCGTTTAGGTCCTTCCATGATATTGTCAGAGTATCGACTGACCAGGCTAGTGGGTCCGGCACTGGTGCCACAATGTTATCTGATGCAAATAGGGTTACTGGAAGACAATCTTTTCTTTTATTGGCAGTTGGAATGCTTCGGCCGTAGCTTCCATTCTGTTGATAGTCTGGCTGGTCTGGACAAGGTGTCTGCTAATCCACTTGCCGCTCCCGGTATGTCTTGCCTTTATCGCTAAGTTGAGCTTGTCTACCAAAGGTGAAAAGTCAACTGTAGGAGGGTCTCTGATTTCATCGTGTCTTGAAGGTGTTTAGTGTATGCTGGGGCTGCAAAGATTACACTATGAGGCGAATACGATTCATATCACGAATATAGGGTAACGAATACGAATATTCCTTTACAATTACAATAACAAGTCAGCAAGTTTATGTATTATTTATTATATTCAGTGAAACAATAACATCATAATTTATTTGACATGGTTTGTTAATTATTAATAAATTATACATTTATATACTGCACTTATCCAGGTACTAGTATCTGCTCAAATGCGACAATGACCAGTGAAAACAATACTATCAAATTAAATATTATTAGAGTGTTGTAATTGAAAGAAATCTATGCATATAATATGTTGTTGTGGATATTTTAAGGTACAGGGTATGTAAATATACATGATAGCATATTCATAAATATTCAATTCTAGTGGCCATGAATAATGAATTCAATTCATGAATGGTTACGGTTCGATTCACCGAATACGAGAGTAAATCGTAACAGCCCTAGTGTATGCCACAGTTGATATGAGTGTCCCGATCATCAGACGTTGGTTTCTTGACTGTGGGGTCCAATGAAATATTACCCGGATTACAGTCTCGTATTCAGATACATGTAATTGATGTGGTAGAGCTGTCTGCTTCTGACCATAGGCCTGATGTTACTTCCAAGTTGAAGTGAGCTCCCCGACCTTGAAGTGAGGTATCTATGAACACTACAAGTGGTTGTTGTATTTCAGCTTGTGTAAACAAATTCCTGCACAAACAATCAATTCCACTGTCCATCACAAGAGGTGTTCCTCAATGTGTTCTGGTACTAGGATGTTAGTCTGGCTCATTAGACTTGATCCTAAGGAATGGAGATCCTGGAATGGCTGTAAGTCGGACTTCTGATAATTTATTAACCAACGTAGATGTGTTAATAATTTCCGAGGAAATATTGTAGTCTGAGTATTTGTGCATATCCGGGCTTGAATCCCTTCATCCAGGTAAAATGTATTACGGATTCCTGTGTGACGAACAGCAACTGGCTTAGTCACTCGTGTACATAGCCATGGGTTGAAGCGGTTGTACCGCCAGTGACAAGAAGGGTGGTTCTCCTCCCAGTTGTGGAAATCCAAGCTGTCGTCTGTTGACTGGTGACGGTTAGAATGGGGTAACGGAGAGGTTGTCTAAAGTGTAATAGCTATTACCATATGCAGAACGTTGAACTTCCGAGTTGTTGATGTGGAGATGAGTTCGCCTGCTGATCAACGTTCAAATACACATTACACAAAAAATGTGTTATAAAGCGATGGTAAAAACTTGACGGTCGTGCGTGTGATCTAGTATCTCATAGAAAAACGATGCTGAAGATGTAGTTTATCGGTTGGCTGATCGTACAAAGCAGGGCAATCGGGACCACGTTAAAGAGCGTTAGTAGCAAACACTGTGCCTGGAATGGACGTGGCTAACATTAGGATCATATACCAAAAAAAAAATGTCGTCTTGAATAAGTGAGGGATGACTTGTCCTGCCAGGTTGATCGGTGATGTGTACAACTGGTGAAGAGACGATGGATTCCATCGCCTTGGCACTGGAAAAAGCGCTGTGCATTCCAGTATCGATGTGACGACAAAAGGAGTTGTGAAGATGTGATAGACCGCACATATAGTCATTGACTACTACTGTAAATGCTTCGCACGGCTCGCATGAGATCAGCCTGTACCACAGTCAGCATGGTAGTCTTGTTTACAAACAGCAATCTCGGTGTGATGTGTAATTCAACCTTTCGCAGAACAGGAAATACAGCAGTCTTTCTGATCACGTGGTCAAAAGCTCCCAACACACAAGCGCTGCCCCGAGTAACGAAAAAACACCAGTGTGTAGGCAGTCAGTTGCTTGTAGAACATGGGACGAAACCGGTGTGCTAGAAACCATCTTCAGACATCGAACATCTGCCGTTTGTACCGATGAAAGACGGACAACCCCCCCCCCCCATCGAATTGTCTGTTAGAATGGTGTAGATTGACCACAACGAGGGCGGAAGAGACGTGCTAACTTATATGGAATATAGGAGAGTATCGTAAGACGATTCATGGCTGGCAGGCATGTGGACCAGATCCATGAAGATCCCGGTAGGGAGAGACGTCAGTATCTCAAGCTCGCCATACGAGGTGACTATGCCTGTAAGAGACCAACAAGACTAGTTGGTCAAGTTTGCTGATATGGTTGGTGCAGGTCATCATATCCCAAGACGTAGACAGATGCTCGTGATGGATCACTGGATTATCTGATCTAGATAACGCAATGCAGCGAAGGCTTTGTCCAAGTTAGCGTATAACAGTCTGATGCATGATGAGAGAGAGGTCTATTGATTCCGTGGAAGAATGACGATCTTATGACTGAGGACCATCCGTCGTTCGTCTGTTTTATATAACAAAAGTTATATCTGGGATAACATCTTCTCAGTAAAATACATGCTCGTACTTTATGGGGTTGAGTCCCGTCCAGGATTCGAACCCACACTGCCAGAGTAAGGGACCTAAATGCCAGCACACAAAGTCAGCGATCTACCCCCCTCAGCCACCGAGGCTTCCTGCAGGTAAAGTCATTCTAGCGGACAAGTTCTTGATCGGACCATGTGTTGATGTATCAATTTATCCATATGTCGACGTATCGATGTGTCGATGTATCGATTTATCCATGTGTCGACGTATCAATGTGTTGATGCATCAATGTGTATCGTAGAGTGAAGATCTGTAGGAGAGGCGAAACTGTCGATCCTCCGAGGTACGACCTGACGGACTGTCCATCCAACATCAGCGTCTTGTCGATAATGGTGAAGTAAGGTGATCTGTCGATCTGTCAATCTGTAGATCCCTCGGTCGTCTATGATCCAATGAAGGATGATGGTCCTGTCGATCGTCCGAGGTACGATCTGGTGAATTGTGACATGGTAGTCCATGTGTCGATGCATCGATGTGTGTAGTCGAGTGGAGATCCCTCAGGTATCAATCTGTAGAGAAGGCGAAACTGTTGATCCTCCGAGGTACGATTTGGTGAAATATCCATCCAAGAACAGCCTCTTGTCGATAATGGTGAAGAATGGCGATCTGTCGATCCCTTGATCACTCGGTCCAGCGAAGGATAACGATCCTGTGAGTGAAGATCCGTCGTCAGTTGGCTATCGCCAACGATTGTAGTGTTTTCAGTCAGAAGGGTTGTCGCCATTAGAAAGCCAGAGAGGTGTAGCTGTATCCTCAGAGCGCTGTAGAAGTGATGACCCGAGTAACAAACATGTTAAGGGAAGAGGCAACCCTCAGTTGACGGCTTGACTTCCCAAGCTGAGTAAAGGGCTGTAGTCTAACACGATGAACTGGCCATTTAAATGTGGGACGACTGTAGAAGCCAGGGAGCGGGCACGGGCACAGGGGTGTGGTCCGCACAGAGGCAGGAATCGCAGCAGTCAAACGAGACGGAAAGCGAACCTCCTCTACGGAAAGCGATGTAACCATCGCCAAATTGACTATAATATTTTGTTAAGCAAAAAAACGAAGGTACAGCCTACAGGGATAACACAATCGTTTTGGTTTCAAAGCAGAGGAAAAACAACATGCACGAAAAACCGTAAACAACGTCTTGGACCGACGAACAGTCGTCTTTATTGAACATTAAGCTAAGTAAGTGGAAATCCAATTCTGGCAAGGTGGTACACAGTAGACATTGTTATTAATACCACTCTCTGTTGATGGTAATGGTAAACTTTAGTAGTGATATCGTGTATTTAAGTTTTATATATAAAAAAATAATTTAAAAATAATAAAATTCTCTGTTCAAGAAAACGTCCGAACACCATAGCGATAGAATTGAGAATGAGGGTGCTGGATATGTGAGGTGATCAGATCGCTGGGGTCGTGTTGCACGGGATTTTAGTGGTGCGTGAACCACAGTGCTTATTTGGTGATGTGTGGGATGTGTTTGGGTGAGTGGTGTTTTTGAAGCTGGAAACTTTGTTCTAGGACGTTTCCACACCAAGATCGAGGAATTAGAGGAAATGCATAGTGTGAGATAGGATAAGTTTTAAATTTATTAATACACCTTGCACACAAATACACTTCACAGTTTTAAACTCTGTGGCAAATTCACTGTTCTGTGATATAATGCACTCAGTAAAATGACTGAAAACAGCATCTGAAATTTAGCTTCATCATTAATAAGGTAAGTTAACCTTTGACCTTTCACAAAATCACCATTCATGGTGATTTTTTGTGTATGTTCAGAAATCTAAATATTGGAATAATTACTTAGAGAATTCAATTACAAAAAAAGCACATCAGTGATTACAGTTACGAGGGCTGGTCAAAAAGTACTAAGCCAAACAAACAAAACCAACAATTGTGAAAGTGATTTTATTTTGCAACATAATCTCCCTGCTTTCAATACACTTCTCATATCGATAGTGAAGCTTTTCAATTCCAGCCACGAAGACGTTTTCTGAAGCCACCCTGAAAAACCCATTCACGGCAGCTTTGAGGTCATCATTGTCCACAGGGAAATCACTTGGTGCCAGGTCAAGCAAGTATGAAGGGTGAAGAAGCTCTGCAAACCCACATTGTCGCACAGCAAGTCAAGAGGTTGTCATGAAGTGGTAAAACTCCAGCAGTCAGCATTCCTCACTGCTTTTCTTCAATAGAATCTCTCATGCAATGAAGAGATGTCTGCATAGTAGGCACAGGTAATTGTAATCGACAAGGATCACACCCTTTGCATCCCAGAATACAGTGGCCATAACTTTCTTCACCAATCTTGAAGACATAGTGGTTGACCCATGTTTCATCACCTGTTACTAATCTCTTTTTGAATTTGACAAAATCCTCATCAATTAGTTCTAAATATTCTCTTTGGCAATGTCAGTTCTTTTTTTCTTTAAGATCAGAATTTAGAAACATTGGCACTCAAACCTCAAGTTCAGCAATGGTAATACACAACATTGTGTGTTATTTGAGACAAGTGTGACTGATGGGTAACATGTGCAGATGGGATTTTAGGATTTTAGGAGGACTTGTGAAACTTGTGGAGGGGACATAGCCTCAGAGATGACAGGAGTTCCTTGATTTTCGATGTTTTGCTTCATAAATGGTTGAAAAGCTGTTGAAAGGCTAACACAGAATCTGGAGACTTGGTGCCAAGCTGTCTGCATTCACAGAGTTTATTCAGTTCACAGGATCAGCTCGCTGGGGTAAGTTTCCTTTTCCTTGTTTTTTTAATGATTTTTGTTTTGATTTTAAGACCTCCCTGAGTTTAGCAACGTGCATCGATTTTGCGTGCAGATGTTGGCAGGCTTATCATGTCTTTTAACAACAAAGACAATAAATGTGTTCAGAGGTTGAATTATGGTCAGTCAGATCTCAATCCACTTTAGCGAGGTCATTTACTTGGGTGTCAAATGGTCAGACATGTTTCTTTACAAACAATGCAGACAAAGTTTTGGATTTTATTGGAAAATGAAAATTCGTAAAAAATGTGAATGAATGCTGTGGATATGGGAATGAATCCAATGAGAGAAAAATAGTCCTGTTGTCCATTGAAAATTGATGTTTGTTTAACTGACCTATCAGCTTAAAGAATCACTAATTGCACACTCTCTTGTTCAGACCATGACAGTCGCTTCCATGCAGATTTACTGCCTCCACTTTTCGGTCTGTGACCACCCCTGCTGCCCCAGCTGACTTCACAGTGCGGATCCAAAGTTTGAGGTGTCTCTCTTCTCCCTAAAACCCATGCAAGGTAAGCATCCCCTCACATCCAACGGAAATCCACTCATCAGACAGCAAGCTTTCCAACCGTCTCCTGCTGTGGGTGATGTGAGACACCTGGCCATGCTCCTTACTCTGGGGTGGAGCCTTGGATTGAAACACACCTGGTTTATCTGGAATCCTCTGTATATTGGACAAAATGGCACCTTCCGTAGGTGATGTGAGGCTCATCCAAGGTCTTGAAATGAAACATGCTGTCTACTTTGGTGGAGGAGAACGCCATCTTGTACCAAATATATTACCATCTAGAAATTAAAATCTAAAGTAAACTAAAAGTTTTCAGCATGATCTAGTCTTCTAGTAACCTAAATAAACTGAAATTCTAAAGTTATTACAGTGTTAAAACAACTCAATTACAAGTTATGACAACTCATGCATGAGTGAGTGAGTATGGTTTTACGCCGCTTTTAGCAATATTCCAGCAATATCACGGCGGGGGACACCAGAAATGGGCTTCAACATTGTACCCATGTCGGGGATCGAACCTGGGACTTTGGCGTGACGAGCAAACGCTTTAACCACTAGGCTACCCGACCGCCCCAACTCATGCATGAACATGAGGCTTGGGGAGCAAGGTTTGATTTTTTCAAGAGTGATGACAGATGCAATATGATGTAATATAGGTATGGTATTCATATGAATTATTATCACTGGATGACGGAGAAGCAGGTCATGACATAAGCTCACATGACTTTAAGTCAAGTGAAATCAAAATTATGATAAAAGTAACAACTCGACCATAAGGCTTTTTAAAAAAGATTTTCAAATTTTTAACTTTTAACATTTTCTTAAAAATGGTATTTGTTCACATTTTACCGAAATGAAGAGTCTTAAAGTAAATGCCTTGAACAAATCTTAGTCACTCTATCATGCTGGGCATCTCATAAAGCTTAAGGATAATGGACAATTTACAATGCCATGCACCTTTGGCCCTGGTTAGCAAGAAATTCATTCACTGACCTTCCAGTTCTTCAGAATACCTAATCTTGGAGTTGTTGTAGGGTCTGAGAGTACATTGGAGTCCCAGTCACTGTCATCATCACTCTTGACTGGAAGCTTTTTCTTATCACATGACATTTCACTGATGTCAGCTTCACTGATGTCATCAGCATCACTTATTCCGAGCTCTTCCATGAAGGCTGAAACAATTTTTTATGTGTAATCATTTTGCTGAACAAATGTGGGACTTTAAAACCCGAGTACCACAGATACAATAGACCACCTATATTTAGTTATATAAAATGATATTTAATGAAAGCTTTTAGTTTCTCAGAACATTTTCTTATTTTTGAAGTACCTCATTCTGTTTTTGTGTATGCCGACATACTAACTCATATTTCCCTCATTTCTATGATTCCAGTCAAATTCATGCAACAATCACTCAGATCTATTGTCCCTTCAGACAATGCAAGCGGGATAAGTCAGTTCCTGGTTGAAGGGAGTTTAGTTCTTAGCACCTCGATCTGTTTGGGTTTGAGTTCAAAAGTCATTCCAATTCTTTTTGTAAGCAAATTCATTTTTGTTCCTTCTTAAGACATTAAAGGGGCATCTGTGGTAGGGACTACCCCACTCTAGTGGCTTATACGAGTGATCTGACAGGTCAATATAACGTCACGATAAAACACAAATTTCATTGGTTAATGCGTAAATGTGAGTCGTTTGACAACAAGGACGCAAGTTTTAATGGTAATAGATATCCATCAAACGATTACAGAACTTTTCAACAAACGCGTAGGTCCTTGGTTTCAAAACCTACCTGCCATGTTGCTTCACATCTTCATAAAATGAAACTGAAATGTCCTCGATTTATCAAACACAGTCCAACAGAAAAATAATAATTCTGCACTATTCTCTATATGAAAACGAAATATGTTTGTTGTGATGAATAAGAGCAGTGTAATAGAACAAAACACATAATATGCATCACGGCACCAATCGTAATCCTCTGGTGTACGGTTTATCTGCAGTTCATGAATAGCATTTCTCATAATAAATATGGCAATTGATGATTTCAACAGTAGTTTTTTTTCCTTGTGTTCATCTTGCCTTCATCTGGAATCTGGAGAAGATTTTGGTAAAAAATATTCAAGTGATGAAAGCAATATTTTGTCGTTTCCATCACGTTTTCATTGCCCAGTAGCAATGTGTTCTGGTAAAGTCACACTTGTCCAAAAGCCCTTATGCCGAAGTCACTCGATCTGTGAAACTTGGTGGGTCCCAGTGACCAAGATTCCCTGTTGATTGGCATGCCAAGTGTCATTTGCATAAGGCCATCCATATTTTTTGTATGTGTTTCTCCCCTCAAGCCTCACCTAACTAGAGAGCGGCCAGACGAAATAAAATGCATTACTTATTAAAAAATGTCTTTCAATAATTGTGTAAATTATTTCATGACATTTTAAAAACAAGAGTCATCCGAAGATGACATATCCCCCCCAACGTGGCATGTTGGTAAACTGTGTGTACCTTTAAATGTATTTAGATTGGCAAGGAAATCTTTTTCCTTGATGCCAAAACCAGAAATATAATGAAGGTTATTAAATATTGGTTCATGTAGCTCACTTTCTGATGATCTCATGAAATTGTAATAACAATAACTTCGTAAATGAATAGCTCGGTAGTAGCTTCATGACACAAAGGCATAAAGAGAATGTACTAGGTTATGTAGCTCACATCATATATAGTATATGATATCGGTAAAAAGTACACCTTAGAAAAAAACACCTGACAAAAAAACAAACCTTAACATCTTGTTTCATTATATGTCAGGGGCTTCAAATTAAAAAGATTAAAATCTATAAATAACAAACTGCACTACTAGTGAACATGATTGATATGTGCATAAAGTTTGGTGAATCTCTGTCGCATGGTTTAGAAGATATGCTCCAGACGAGGACATTACCCTAAGTTCATCAATTTTCAATTTAAATTGAAAAAAGAAAAAACCTGTTAATAGCAAAGGCACCACTACATAACCTGCTTGATAGGTGTAAAAACTTTTGAGAAGCTAAGTTGATATGGTCCGGACAAGAGCACTACCCTCAAGTTCATCATATTTCCATGGAAACAACAAAAATATAAAATTCAAAAAATCTCTAAATAGCAAAAGGCACTTCTACTGAGCCTGATTGGTAAGTGTACCAAGTTTTGGGAAGCTAGGTTGTACGGTTTAGGAAATATGCTCCGGACAAGAGCACTACCCTCAAATTTCCTAAGTTCATCATATTTCCATGGAAACGACAAAAATATAAAATTCTAAAAATCTCTAAATAGCAAAAGGCACGACAACTGAGCCTGATTGGTAAGTGTACCAAGTTTTGTGAAGCTAGGTTGTACGGTTTAGGAAATATGCTCCGGACAAACAATGATTACAGACGGACAGACGGACATACTGATGGCTATATCCCCCCGTCATCCGTCAATGCCTCAACAATCTTCCTGGTCAGTTGATTTCAACAATATAATACACAGCCTCATTCACAACGTCATCAGAAGATTCAAATTCCTTTCAAATACCCATCCACGTGATCATGGTAATGACCTTTGGATGAATTAATGAATTAATTTGAATTGTTTTATAACAAATGTTTTCGTGAATACTCTTATTAAAAAACATCCTGCACATGGTACTTTTGCATTGCACTCCGGATTTCTTTTATTACTTTCTAAAACTTTTTGTTTTCGCCCTTTCTGACCATGCGATCTCCTAGCAACCACACCACATGAGCGCATCAGAGTTGGATGCTGTCAAGAACTTTGCAATTTCGCTTGTCTTCCAATATGAGCAACAAAACATTTCCGCGTGACGCTTAAATTGACGGAGAGTAGTTCGAGATGATCAGGGGAGCCTTTGGTTATTTCAATTTTGACACTGATGATTTTATTGTGGAGAAAGTTCCAGTTCAAGATTATATCATTCCGACTGACAAATCAAATTAATAAGATGGCACCCCTCTTCCCGCCCTTTCAAGTGCAACAGAAACTTCAGACAAATTCACTGCCGATTCTTGGGATTAGTGAATCAGTGTCACAGCGAGATTTCATTGTGGAACCAGATGAAGGCGAATATGTCTGTTCACACTTCTTTTGACAACCTTGCGTGTGACACAGCATAGGGAATGGTGCGGTGACCATGTTGCAGAAATTATTCAATTTGAAAAGAGTGCTACCAATACTTCTGGACTATGCTAAATAGACGAAGTGTTTGGAGAGATGGTAGATACTCGGACTTGAGTGAGTGAGTGAGTGAGTTGGGTTTAACGCCGCTTTTAACAGTATTCCAGTTATATCATGGCGTGTCAGCTTAATGTGGGAGGAAAGCCCGAAGTGATGCAGGTCTCAGACGTTTACCACTTCGGTGAAACCAACGAGCACGGTTATGGTGCTGACAAACCTAGAAACATAATCGGGGCGAACCGGGATTCGAACCCACAATGATAGGTTTCTAGCGTGCCTAAGGGACGCAACTCTGCACAGCGAATTGTGGCGCCTTAGACGACTGGGCCACCCGTGCCCCCCCCTTACTCAGACTTGAAGAAACGGATATTAAACATTGCAGCAGATGAAGGATTGGTGTGGACCAAACGGGAAAGGGATCGCGAAGTGTATCCAAATCCCCTGAACAAAAAATACATTGGACAAGTCTGGATCTAATGATCAAACTCAGTTTCATGTGTGAAAATTATGTGATGTTTGTGTTTGTTTGTTGTTTAACACTGCACTCAGCAATATTCCAGCTATATGACAGCGGTCTGAAAATAATCGAGGCTGGACCAGACAATCCAGTGATTGACATCATGAGCATCGATCCATGCGATTGGGATAGTTGACATGCATCAACCATGTCAGCAAGCCTGACCACCCAAACGTGAAAGAAAATGAAATCCATAATTAAAGTTGTCTTGTAATGTGTATTGGAGTTTTCGTTTATTGTAAGTACAATATTATCAAGATATGCCTAATGTATGTCAAAACATCAAGTATATTTCGTTACTTATTAACCAGTTGCTTATCTGCATTGTAATGTTGATACACGTGACATATTCTTCATATAAATATAATCTGATTATTGTGTGGTATTGAATGCAAATGAACAAAACTATACAAATATCTGAAATTTTCAGATTGTACTGAAAGAATGTTGTTGTCAATTTCGTATTTATGTACTGTTACTGTTGCATTTACCGAAACTGTTGTTCTGCTGCTGTTCTGCCGTAATAATATACAACACAAAACACTTTGACCACAAATTCATTGAATGTGTCACATGTACACATGACCATGTGCTTTGCTATTTATAGCGCAACCGTAAATAAGCTCCACCCACTGTGATTGATGCAGACGCCAAACACGATTGATTCGATTTTTTGTGATTAAAATTACAGATAATGTATTGACTTTTGTCCAGATAGGGAGCCATTTGTGGCATCCATGTTTTGTCATTCAAGTCGATAATGAAGTTTGAAGGTCAATGGTGATCTTGTTTGTGTACGGTTTTCAAAAAGCTTCTCCCGACACTTGGTTGTATTTACATTGTCAGTCACTGTTCGAAACTGAAACACTGCCACCTTGTGGACTGTTTATAAGTCAGGGTGGGGCTTTAAGTAAAGTTCATACTGGCAACAACAATATTATGATGCCATGTCTCACCATGTATACCTTTTGTTTGTTGAGTTCCTATCCATCTGCCATCACAGTCATGGTTAATATATTTACTTTTATTAAGAAATCAAACAAAGTTATCCTTGTTAATAATTTTTCTAAGAAAACAACCTCTATTACATCTTTGCCATAAATCCTGTATTTATGGCTTCAGTCACACTAACTAAAATTTTCAGATTTTAAACAGACGTCCTCTTCCTTCACTGTCAATCACACACAATTTGTTGTTCCCAATATTGCACTATAGCAAATCAAGCTATGACGTGCGTAATGGCTACAACGTGCGTAACCTTACATATTTCCCACATCTAACCACTAGAGATAGATGAATTGGGGAGGTGGATGGGAGTACTTTTGATGTAATAGGTTGTATTCTTAGAATTATTAACAATGATAACTATTGTTCGATAATCCTTGACCTCTTTTCCGGTTCTGATGTCACTTCCGGATTTGTCACTTACCTTTCATTGGATAATAC